TGAACAGACTAGACTCACCAACAGCGGGTTACAACATCAATACACGACCAAAGACAATGGCAACATGAGGGCTACTTATAGCAAACAAGAGGGTCACATGACATGAACAAACCAATGGTGAACAAGACACATGACTAAGACGACCAACCAGAACATGACACACACACAAGGCAGAGATACATGAGGGCAGGGGAAGCATGACACTAACAGGGCGCATGCGCAACGCTGACCTCATACGACATCCTCCCGGAACTGCTTCCGTGTACAACAGTGAGCGCAAGCTACATTAAAGTGATTATTACGTTTTGAATATGGATATTTTTCTTACAAAAATGCATCGATTCGCTACAGAAGGCCTTTGTTCACCCCCCGGAGCCATGTGAGACAATTTTTTTTTGATGGGCGCTTTTTATTTCACTTCTTTTGGACTGATGCATGCAACACCCGCTGAGTGCAATGATAGAGCTTGAAAGATCAAAGACAATTTTGAATATAACTCCGACTGGATTCGTCTGAAAGAAGAAAGTCATATACACCTAGAATGCCTCGGGGGTGAGTAAAACACAGCCTAATTTTCATTTTTGGGTGAACTAACCCTTTAAAGTTTTAGTAATTTTGTTGTGTATTTGTATCATTTTTATTAGTTGTTGTTTTTTTTGTCTATATTTTGTCTATAGTTTGCTTTCATTAATTGTTATTTCAGTAACTTTAATATATCAAGTTAAAATAAATGATACTGCCTTGGCAACTAGCTGAAAATTTTGTTTATTAACAAAATATTTTATTTATTTATTTATGTTTCAGTTTTCGTAAACTGTAATAATAACCCTTCAGAAATTACAAGCAGCGTCCGTGACATGCAGGTTATTTGCACTAGGCAGCCAGTGAAGATATCAAATACTGCGTAAATATGAAAACAATGCTCAAATCTTGTTCTTACAGCAGGTAAAGATACTTTATGCTTTATTACTATTTATAAGATGCTTTATTTAGAGGTTGCGTCACAGATTGTTCCTGCAGTGAAAAACACACATTGTCTTTATTTAGATGTAATTAGTAGTTTTTGCAAGACTTTCCAGATTTGAACAATGAGTGTTCAGGATAATTACAGTCTGTTTGACCCGAGGTCTAAATATAGAACGGGGCTTTTGTCATAATAGTGTAGTCTAAACCATCTGCAAGACATCTGTATCCAGTCCTGGTCTTTCACACGATCCAAAATATTTAACACATAGCATCACGTTCTATTGCATTGAATTAAAAATAAAAATGGTCAAATTATTGCTCTGACATAATGCAATTTATTTTTCTTCTATCAAGCTTTTGATCTAAATATTTGTGCTTTTGTTTACAGAAAGGAACTTCCTCAAATGCTCGTCTTACAGAAGTAATATCTTTGACATGGTAACACGTTGTTGTTAAAACTGTTTGGTTATTCATGTAATGTTTACAGTAGTAAACATGGTGAAGCTGCCAAAGAAAGTTCATCACAGCTTGAGAGATCAAGTCAATGAAATCACTTAAACAGAACCAAAGGAGATCATATTCCACTTTTGCAGTTTAACATGTACAAAAAAATCCAATAGTTGAATTAGCCGTGTCTCTGAGAGCATCAGCGCTGCACACACCAGCTCCCTCAGCAGCAATAGTTGCTGAATCATGCAGCGTAAGACTGAGTTATTCACATACACTGCCAAAGCACAAGCAAATATTAGAGATATACAGACATAGAGCCCAAAACCACTCAAAACGTAACACGAGCACGACTCAAAGCGTGCAGCTCAATGAATCAGAGGCTCAGAGCACTCCACCATCTTCCTCTTCATACTGGATCACATGCTGGACTAGAGATGCAACTCTAGATGACTGTTTATGTCTGATAACCGACAGGATGACCAGTGCTGTAAATCTAGTCTTGTGTCTGTTGTTTAAATCAAAACTGTTTACAATGACGTCCGTGTGGAATTGTGCATGCTTCAAGTAAAATGAGACAACAAAGCATCATAAAATATAAAATTACAAACAGTCTACTACTGTTTTTCTGCTGTTTGAAGTGAAAAATAAATAAAAAATAGGGCGCAATGTACGGAGTAAATATGAAGTATTGATTTTTCACAGGTGTTTTACCATTTTGCCCTTTTTCTCAATTTGTGCTCCATGATGAGATATTTTGCACAAACTAAGACACCAGCATGATGCAGAAGTGCTGTGGGTGGTTACTAGGGTGTTGTTAGATGGTTGCTAAGACGTTGTGGGTTGCTAGGGCATTGATAGAGAGTTGCTATGATGTTCTGGATTGAAAGGGCGTTGCTAGATGGTTGCTAAGATGTTGTGGGTTGCTAGGGCATTACTAGAGAGTGGCTAAGATGTTGTGGGTTGCTAGGGCGTTGCTAGAGAGTTGCTAAAATGTTCTGGATTGAAAGGGCGTTGCTAGATGGTTGCTAAGATGTGGGTTGCTAGGGCATTGCTAGAGAGTTGCTAAGATGTTCTGGATTGAAAGGGTGTTGCTAGATGGTTGCTAAGATGTTGTGGATTGCTAGGGCATTGTTAGAAAGTTGCTAAGATGTTCTGGATTGATAGGGTGTTGCTAGATGGTTTCTAAGATGTTGTGGGTTGCTAGAGCGTTGCTAAGATGTTCTGGGTTAAAAGGGCATTGCTAGAGAGTTGCTAAGATGTTCTGGATTGAAAGGGTGTTGCTAGATGGTTGCTAAGATGTTGTGGATTGCTAGGGCATTGTTAGAAAGTTGCTAAGATGTTCTGGATTGATAGGGTGTTGCTAGATGGTTTCTAAGATGTTGTGGGTTGCTAGAGCGTTGCTAAGATGTTCTGGGTTAAAAGGGTGTTGCTAGAGAGTTGCTAAGATGTTCTGGGTTGATAGGGTGTTGCTAGATGGTTGCTAAGATGTTGTAGGTTGCTATGGCGTTGCTAAGATTTTCTGGGTTGAAAGGGTGTTGCTACATGGTTGCTAAGATGTTGTGGGTTGCTATGGTGTTGCTAGATGGTTGCTAAGATGTTCGGGGTTGCTAGGGTGTTGCTAGATGCTTGCTACAGTAAGATGTTCTGGGTTGCTAGATGTTTGCTAAGATGTTCTGTGTTGCTAAGATGTTCGGGATTGGTATGGTGTTGCTAGATGCTTGCTACAGTAAGATGTTCTGGTTTGCTAGATGTTTGCTAAGATGTTCTGTGTTGCTAGGGCATTGCTAGAGAGTTGCTAAGATGTTCTGGGTTGATAGGGTGTTGCTAGATGGTTGTTAAGATGTTGTGGGTTGCTAGGCGTTGCTAGAGAGTTGCTAAGATGTTCTGGGTTGCTAGGGTGTTGCTGAGATGCTGTGGGTTGCTAGGGTGTTGCTGAGATGTTGTAGGTTGCTAGGGTGTTGCTGAGATGTTGTAGGTTGCTAGGGTGTTCCTAGATGGCTGTTAAGAGGCTTTTTTTCATCAGTTTTCTGGAGTAGCAGGTGAAAATTGTGTCTGATCACTAATTAACAACAAAACACAGACTTTGAGGAATTCTTCCTGTCTGAAGCACCGAACGCTGCACTCACACACCCAGCGGCAAGAATTAAAAATGTTTGATAAAAAATAAAAAAAACACGGTGCAAACACTACTAATAAGGAATGTAGGCCTATATATTTTAGTCATGAAATCAAATGCTTTCTATTGACATTGAAACATTAGAGAGCTTGTGCGTCAGAAGTGGGCAGATGATGGTTGTTTAATGCAGATCTGTGTGGTTTTATCAGAAGCTCAGCTCAGGTTGAATCTACAGCTCTAGTAAACAATCCCAGCATCCATGATTCACACGCCTTCTTCACAGAACCAGAGCTTACGGTGTTTCTATATTATGGGTTTTCATCTTAATGACCCTGTGCATTATTATCATTTTATTAAAGGACACAGATTACACAGAAACACTAATGACGATGCACTAATAAGAATACATCTATTGAGGATTATGTAAGGAGATTTAGATGTGTTGTTGTGAACACGGCTGGTGATTTTCAGCATTGCAGCAAATGATCCTCCATCATGTCTCAATAACATTTAAAGGTTATCATCATCAGGATCCTCACGATGGCCTTTACATATCATTGAGGAGGCATGATGGGGGTTGTGACTGAGCCGGAATATAAGATTAATGCTGCATGGATTTGCAGTATGTGTTGTTATTATTGTTATTGTGTATTAATGTTTTAATAAATGGATGACTCACTTCCCCACGAAGTTCTCGAGCACGGAGCTTTTCCCGGCGCTCTGTCCGCCCACCACCGCGATCTGCGGCAGGTCCAGGTTCGCGTTCTGACCGATGGCGGAGAACGCGTCCTGCATTCGGTTGACCAGCGGGATCAGGTCCTCCATCCCCCGGTTCCCCATCGTGACGGCACGGCACCTGCTCGAGCTTCACCGGAGAAACAGCGATTACAGCGCGCGTCGGCTGCTTTATTTCGACACTGATTATTCTGGAGCTCTCTGTCTCTCTCTCTCTGTGTGTCTGTTTCTCTCTCTCTCTCTCTCTCTCTCTCTCTGTCTCTCTCTCTCT